CTAGACTGCAGCAGATCGTAATAGACAATTCTCTTACAAACCCACCAAATCGATCGGAATCGAGCAAACTAATCCTGGGTCCGGCGTTCAACCACAACATCCTCACCGTAAGCTTTGTAAAATTTTTTAGGTACATTTTTACAGCAGTTTCATATTTTCTATTATAATAAAGCATCATATAAAACTTAATTAAATTTACTTAATTAAATTTACTTAATTAAATTGACTTAATTAAATTTACTTCGTTTACTTTCAATAGTCTAATTTTCTATATATTAGATTTCTGATATGTAATATTCATTATTGGCCAATTCTGGTCACTTTGCATTCCCTTTACGCGATCAAGTTAATATTTAATATCTAAGAATAAAATAATAGTCGTTTCGAATATTATATAAAAAATGATCACCAAACTAAATATCAAATGAAATGTAATTGCAAAATTTTGTTAACTTTAATAAATACATCGAAAGCGGTGATACATGAATGACCTCATAAGTATGCATCTTTCATAACTGCGTCCTATTGCTAGTCCCATAGTTTCAACTTTTCATGCAAAGTACAGTTGACTTTCACTTCTTTAAAAAAAAAAAAAACCTATGCTATTATAATCTCAGAGACTAACTTAAAAGTCTTGCAAAATATCGAGATATGGTCGGATCTATTTCAATAATTTTTTTAAAAATTCTTTTGTTGTCATTTAATAATTGTTTTTATATTAACACTTTATGGATATGTATTAAATGTTAATTCTAGATTTAACTAGAATAATTTGTAGTGTAAAAGTTGACAATTTTATTATTAGTTGAAAGGTATTTACACATATAGTTAAAAACCCATTAACGGTTTTCATTTAAAGGTATAATTTAGGTACGATATTGATTGACTACTAATATGTAGAACTAATCAATAGAAGGTAGATTATAAAAATGAAGTTCATACTATATTATTATTAATTATTACTGAAATTAAACGATATTCTAAGTCATTTACTTTAATTTTTTCTTACACTATTTGGTCAGCGTATCTATATTTATATATATATATTGAAACCTGTCTTGGCAGCTCATTATTATTTGCTATAATGTCGGTAGTCTAGTTAAATTATCAATATATATCTATCACAAATAGAATACCGTTTCTTACATAATACAATATTTAAAACAATATTGAAAGCTTTCAATAATTGATCTTTGCTCAAGTTGTTTTTATGTTTTTAGTAAAAAGACTATTATTAATACTCTTTCTTATCTTTTAAAAATAGATACATATTCACATTTTAAGTATCTCATGCAAATGATAATTTAAAATAAATTGAAGCAGTACCAGCATATATGTAAGTAGTCAAAAACTGGTACAATCAACTTTTTTAAATTTGGCCTTGCGGAGTTTAAAATATAATGCACATGATCTTACAAAATTACATATATACTTAATTAATATATTTTATTTTATTTTTTATTTGTAATTTGTGTTTAATGCACTTAATTTTGGTTTTAATTATAACGATTTAATGCTTACTAAATCGCTCTCATTTATTTATTGAATTTTTAATAGGAAAATAAGCAAATAATGTAATGTTTAAGTTTTCCTTAAAATTAAGTAGCTCTGATATATACAAATATATTTTAAAATATATATTTGAAACATAAAATAAATCTGTTTATATAAATTTAAAATGAAATTGTGAAACATTCAAATCTGTACGAAAATATAAAATTTTATATCCTTTATTAATTACAAAATAATTTACATAAAAATCTTTTAAAATAAATCAATTTAAATTGTTTAAAATGTTTTTTCCAATCTGAAGTCCCCTTCTACTACATTTATAAAGCATGGAATCGTCGATCGCATGATATTACCACATTTCTGAAATAAGATTTCAAAAGTTTTTAACAATTAACAATTAAATCACAACAATATGAACAAAACATTTATTTTTAATGTTATCTTTTTATCAAATTAATTTGATTAATTGTCTAGAATTACCAAAAGATAAATTGGCTTTTGTTTGTATAAATAAATATATATATATTTTTATTCATTGGCTTATGCGGGGTTTAAAGTACAAAAGTGTGCAATAAATAGAGCCAATATCATTGTTTGCGCTTCATTATGAGTCATTAATCGACTCATGTTTACCCAAAATATTATTCAATAATAAACACTTTTAGATACAATTGTCATTGTACTTACTTTTCTGACTTTAATTGAAATATATTTTCTTGCACCACTTCTAAATCTGAATTGGCACACAATAGTTCGGCTGCGTTCATCGTCTCGTATTTCTTGAAATCTGGGGATTTATTGATTTCGAAATCTTTTTGTGATTGACGAATTTTCGAAAGTTGTTCAGCTGGAATGTGTAAAAAAAATTAACGATATTATTAAAAATTGTAAAATGAAGTGTAGTTATAAAGTTTTATCATAAACTATTTATTTGTATAACTTAAAGATATTGAATTAATAAAGCAAAAGAAGAACAACCTCAAAACCTCTTTATTCATATATTTATGTTATAATATCTATCTAACTCTATATATATATATAGTCGAAAATTACCGGATCATTTTTGATACGATTCCGTACAAGTATGGAATATTTTGAACTGGAAAAAAAACACTATAGGCTATGTTTTGATACGACTCCGAACAATGGAATATTTTTGAACTGAAGAAAAACACTATAGGCTATGTTTGGACGTAATAAGTAGTGCACATTTTACACATGTTTTTAAGAAATCATTTTTTTGAATTATACATAATTGAAGTTTTATGATATAAAGAAACAAAAATCAAATTTATTAAATATTATTTAAATATGTCTAAATAGCGCAATAAACAAATTAGAATTTAAAAAGTTCGATGATAAATACATATTAGAAAGAAACATAAAAGAATATAGAATTTAGTTAGAATATATAAGAACTTAGTAGAGCACATATGGAAGATATGAGCACTCAGCGATCTAAGTAATCAGAGTAAAAAAAAACACCAGAACAACGTATTGCGCATTTTTATATAAATCTTCAGTTGTAATAAAGTAATATGAGTTCAGATTAAGAATTAAGAAATATTTTTATTTTTAATTTAAGTGAGCCGTTTGGAGTGCATTATATCTTTGGAATTACAATATATGCTATGATTCTATGTTTCTGGTTTTTATTAAAATAAACTGAAACAGTATTGGGATAATACTTTCTCTTTTGGATATAGCATAGCGCACACTATTAATAATATACGTATATATGTAATTACTTGTAATAAATACACATAACGAACAAATTCATTTAGTTTATTATGTTTTGTATACTGCTATTATTGTAAATAGTCATTCAGTACCGGCAGTTCCAGAACTGGTTAACAAGCGGAAAGCACACAAGTTGAAATATTAATGAGAAGTTAATATTATATTATATATGTTATAATATATATATTTATTATCATATATCATAATATGTAAATAAATTATGCGACATAAGATAAAATGAAATGTTGTAATGTATATAAGAGTGATCGATTTTAAAATCTCCTTAGTGATGATAAATTTGAAGAAATGTACGACTTCAATGTGACGAATTAATTGTTATCAAGTTTAGGATGCTTTCGTACAGTAATGATTTACAACAAAATTTTTTATTATTTAATTTTTAATTGAATTTTTGGCTGATCATTAGTGGTCTTGAAATTATTTCTTATATTTGATTATACGTAAATAACTGTAAGTACCAAGTGTTGAACTCGTACCCTGCAAATTTAAAGGTCAGAATCAGTGTTCATTCGCCAACTGACCCAAGGATTTGTATGCATAATAGAACTGAACTGAGCTTTACTCATTATTATAAGGAGTAGAGTTATAGTTTGAACATATTCCGATTATTATGATTGATTATATTATTTAAAACCAACTGCTGATAAGCAGCAATCAGTTAATTTTTTTTTATTTTATTGCTACTTTTCATACATTGCAACTCCATTTCAATAGCACCTTTCGACACTAGAGCATTAATGCGATTTTTATGGTCATATTAATTAATTTCGTTGACGGTTTTGTTGAATATTAATGCACTTATAAAATGAAAATTATGTACGAAATGCAATTTCTGCAATATACGTACTTATTTTTGGCTACAAGTAAACCTTTAAAGTTGATACTAGTTCATTGTGACTTTTTATGACAATTAAATAACCAAAAATATATGCGTAAAATGTTATGTATAACACGTTTCCCACTGCTTATCATGTTAATTTCCTGCATAGTTAATTCGTTTGTCAAACTGTATATATTTTACTTTTTAAAATACAAAATTTAATTTATTCATACAATTATGTATGCAAACAATTAAATTAATTTTTTTTTAAATTTATCATTTTTAAGTAAATATTAATTAAGCTGGTTATATTATATATAGAAAGAAAAATGAAAGTATTAGATCAAAATTTATCAACTAATTAATTATGGGTATTAGTATTTGATTAAGAACAGAATTAATTAAATAATAATCGGTTACTAGTTAATTATAATTTTTGCAACCGTTTGCGTAATAAATCGTTCCCCATAGAGTATTAAACCCAGTCTTTAGAAGGCCTTCATGACATATTTAAGTGTCAAAAGGAATGTGAACCACTTTGTTGTAAAACGCGCATGAAACGCCGTGCAAGAAGTATGATGACTATTATTAAATGTAAATGCAGAAATTGCCAACATTTTTCATTTGGTTCATTTGCGGAATAATTAACAAGCATTGCGTACAGATTATCATAATAGGCCACTATGTACTGGTATCTACCTCAAAGGTTTACTTACAGCCAAAAACAAGTACGTGTGTTGCAGAAATTGCATTTCATATATACAATTCTGCTGACGGTTACAAATATACATTAAGACTGAAAAGTTTTCGGAAATTCTCATTTAAAATTCGCGCGCTGTATATTTTTCGATATTTTAAGTTTATGTAGTTTGGCAGCACTGTCCTTAATTACTATGCCAAAAATGAGCTCGATCTGTCAGACAGTTCGTTTACGGCAGCTGTTGAAACCAGTTCACCTCAGTAGTGCGTTGCGAAATGTCTTCGACGGTCGTACGACCGTCCTGGAAGGCTTTGTACCACTCATAAACTTGAGTTTTCGATAAAACTGATTCCCCATAAGCCTTTTGTAGCATTCGCAACGATTCTGCACACGAAATTTCGTTCGAAACACAAAATTTGATGCAAACTCTTTGTTCAATATTTTTTTCCATTGTTTTTTTCGCAACGCCCTACTGAGGTGAACTGGTTTCAACAGCTGCCGTAAACGAACTGTCTGACAGATCGCGCTCATTTTTGGCATAGTAATTAAGGACAGTGCTGCCAAACTACATAAACTTAAAATATCGGAAAATATACAGCGCGCGAATTTTAAATGAGAATTTCCGAAAGCTTTTCGGTCTTAATGTACACTATTAAAACTGACATTACAAAAGTAAACGTATGTGCATTAATATTAAGTCAACTAAATTAATTAACACGACAATAAAATCTCCATTAATAGTGTCGAAATGCGCTATTGAAGTGGAGTTGCAATGCAAGAAAAGTAGCTACAAAAAAAACGCACGGATTGCTGCCAAGCCATTGCCGCATAACCGAAACAACAATAACATTTGCGGTACAACTGACAACTGGGCTAAAAGGCAATGCCGTCCGTTGTTACAATTTTGGGAAATAACTCACAGCTCTGTACACATTGTCTCTAACACACTCTATTTACCAAGTTTATCAAGTTAATAATTAAATGTAAAAAGAAACACAAGAAACAAAAATTGTTTACTCGTGTTATTAATATTTTGATATTTTTTGTTTACGTACATTGGAACAAGTGTCTCAATCAGTTTTTTTCTTTTTTATGTTAAATATTCCAACATGTATTATTATTTATGAACTCACCTAGAATGCACGTAAATGTTGTTCCAACAGTAGAGCCAGTTTTTGGTATTTCCGATATGCCACCAACAATTAAATCAATATCTGCCCAATCACTATATACGCTTTTTAATTTTTCTATTTCCTATATGAAAAAAAATTAATTTAGATATTATTATTTTGCTTCCTAATTCTATGACAAATTACAAACCTCTTTGTTAATGTATTTCTCCAAGTCCTTCCAACTTGTGATCTTGGTATTTTCACAAATTTCTAAATATTTAACATATCCCTGAAGACCATGATCTCGTCCTCTTTGTATGTCGAAAGCCAATATATCAGCATGCGATGGTCTCAAATTATTTAATAATATTAACTTTAAAAAAAATATAAATACAATTGAATTAGTAACTATAATATCAAATAAATTATACATTAATAAATTCATAAATTATATTATTTTATATTATACTTTATTATTCTAAAATGGAAGAAGAAATCGCGATCGACCAAAAACTACATGGAGAACGACAATCAACAGAGAGTCAGGCAAATCTTTCAATGAACTAAGAGCTATAGCGCGCGGTAGAAATAATTAGAAATCTTTTGTGATGAGACTAAGTTCTTGAATTTATATTTTTGAACATGTCAGTCATAATAATAATAATACTTTATTATCGTAAATATATTCTTTATTTAGAAGCATTATTTTATAAGTAATTTACGTTCCTAGATTAGGTTCTATACATAAGAAAGAACAAATCATGCAACAAATAATGCCTCTACGAATAGAATAGTTTTGAAATTTAACAATTAAAAATAAAAAATATAATTAATTAATTAATTCAATTATTCTATAGCTGGTTTATGATTTCGTTATAAATATATAAATACAGCAAGTAAAATTGTTAATAAAAAACTTTCATAGCAAAAGTAACAAAAACTCCAGCAAAATATGCGAACATAAAAAGTCAAGTACGGCTTTGGATCAGTTGGTTAAGGTGCGCTGATTCTGAGCTTCATATTTGGCAGGACCCGAGTTCAATTCCTGGTACTTGCAGTCTCAAAAATAATTATTTACGAATAATTAAATATAAATATTATTTCCAAGACTACTAATGATGGGTATTTGGCAATACTCGAAACAGCTGTATGGTCAGCCAAAAATTCAATTAATTAAAATAATTTAAAAAATAAATTTTTGTTGTTGTTTCACTTCTGTTCGAAAACCTCTTTATATAAGTAATTTAAAATAAAATTTTTACTGTTGTAGTTCACTACTTTTCGAAACCTCTCTATTAAATATAATAGTTTCTATTAAGTAAATTAGTCACTTAAAAATCAAATTAAATATAAAAAATTATCTAATAATATGAAGTTATAAAATATTTCTTTTTCCAGTCTCGCTTGTACGAACCACAATGTACCATTAGCTGACTTTTCCCGTATTACTTTCCTGGATTAGGTTCTAAACACAAGAAAAAATAATATAACAGCGTACAATAAAATAATTCCTCTACAAAAGAACAGTTTGAGATTTAATAATTAAAAACATAAATATAATTAAATAATTCAATTATTCTACAGCTCGTTCGTATTACTTTCCTAGATTAGGTTCTATACACAAGAAGGAATAATATAACAACATACTGCCTCTACAAAAGAATAATATTGATATTTAACAATTAAAAATATAAACACAATTAAATAATTTAATTATTCTACAGCTGATTTATGATTTCGTGATAATGTAATACAACTAGTAAATTTGTTAATGAGCTTTCACATCATTATTAACAGAATTCCATGTCCAAACATACGAGTGAAATTCGGCTTTGGATCAGTTGGTTAATGAACTCTGATTCTGACCTTCAAATTTGGCAGAGAACGAGTTCAACCCTTGATCCCTGCAGTCTCAGATGATTATTAACCAATAATTAAATATAAGAAATAATTCTTAGACCATTGATGATTGGTATTTGCGAAAAGAAAATGGTCAGACAAAAAATAAATATAAAAAAATATAAAAAAAGTGTAGTTCACTGCTTTTTGAAAATTCTCTATTATTTTATAGTATTATTATAATAGTATTACAGTAATAAGAAGAATAACAAAGTATATGAATGTACTTTTAACAAATGAATAATATAACATTTATATGTTCTAATTTAGAGATCTTCAACAAACCACTCAGTGTACAAATTTGTGTTCATTTCATTTGCTTTCCATACAATCATGTACTCGTATATGTATTTTTTTCATATAAATGTGAGCATTCACTCAGTTTAAATCTATTCGTTCATATTTGCGTTTTTTATGCTTATAGCTTATGTAATAAATGTTCACAAGAACGTTACGCAGGCGATGGAATAATCATATTCGTTAGAAGTAAGTTTAAAACTTGAGAGCTATCAAAAAATGTTGGTTTTAATTTAAAAAATTAAAAGTAATTAAAAAACAAAAAGTAAGAGTAATGAAGTGATGATCGACGAACATTTGATAGCCCGGTGACATGGTCCTTAAAAATCGTAATACGAAGTCCATTTGTTTGGTCAACTATTTGTTCAGAACTCGTTAGCTAAATTCAATTAATAAATTGAAAAAAAAGTAGTAAAGTAGTTAAGTAGTTAAAAGTAGTATATCACACCAAATACTTGTGTCTGTTATCGTTGTTATTAAACTTGTAAACTTAAGTACTCAATTACTTCAAATCTATTTGTTTACATTTACATTTAAAGAAGCTTAAAGCACAAATAACAAATGGTAGGTAACACAACAATGAATAGAAGAATATTGAACCAAAAAATTAATTGTTTTTGTATTTTCGAGTAATTAACTTGTTTACAGATAACTCATATAGTGTACCTATATGCATTTTTAAATACTAAAATGTCATTCATTGAAATTCTCTAATACTTTGCATTATCTCCCGAAAATATGAAAAGTTATGTAGTTTCAATTCAATTTATAAAATTTTGTTACGGTCTACATCATTCTTCTCTAAAGTCTAAGCATCTCGACCATCCTTTTACATGTATGGTTACTTACAGTTTGCATACACATAAAATACCTTTTATATAGGGAAGTTAAATCATAATTTGATCCAACTCAATAAATAATCTTGAAAGATAGGCGTTGCTTTGGAATCTACAGGGTACTGAGCAATCTGGCAAGTTATAATATGAAACGACTCAATAACTAATGTAGAAACACATCAAGACAGGAGTTGCTTTGAAACACACGAGGAACTCGGCACTACAGTCATATATATTTATATATGAGTTATATTTAGAGTGCTGTAACCCATGAGGCAGTTCACTATTCAAAAAGATTGAGGAGAGCCTATGGTACCCGTGGGCTTAATGATTGCAGTAACCAATCGGTTTAGAATATATACCTTACACATAATAATACAATATTCCAATTTAAATTTAAAAAAAAAATTTAATAAAATAATAAATAATTATTAATTATATTAATTAATTTATTAATTAATTATAATAATTAATTTTTAGGAATTAATTAAATAGTAATTAAATAAAAATAAAGTAAGGTTTAAAGCAACTTACACTATCCACATACGTTGCATCCATTTTCATAGCACGTTGTTGCAGCAATGACTCTAACATATTATTAATGAATGTTGCTGTAAAAGTAAGCATAGACTTATAAATATGATCCTTGAGTGTAAACAAATTTGGTTCGGATAAAACGTTACTAAAGAATTTTAAATTTGTTATTAAATTTAAAAATAAATGTGTTATTAAAAGTTTACATACATCACATTTTTCAAATTGTTTAAGTCTCCAGACCTTCTTCTATTTAGAATTGAATAGTTATGTAGTTCATTAGGCATCATCGAATAATAAAAACGTATGGCAGCTACTGCAAATTCATTAGAAATATCAAGTTCAGAGCTAGTGAGTTTAGAGCTTAAAGGCTGTCCCATAATGTCCAGAGCAACGCTTCTACCTAATAAAGCTGGCAGCCATTCATTCATAACTATACGACGATAAATCCCAATATTGATTGACTTTGCAGTTTGGAATAAACGTTCGTCATCCCAGTTATGATGTTCCAACTTTAACTGCTTTGTGATTTGATTATGATTTCTCATGAAGAGCGTATATATAATAATAGCAAATGGATTATTATTCACACGAGAATCACCAGCCATGAAACAAGTAGAATTTTGAAATTGCTTCTTAAGAGCACAAAAAGTATGCGTTTCATCCAAAGCCATTGGCAATAAATCTTCTTTGTCATTTGATCCCCGGGTAGATTTGATTTTACCATCTGTGAAGGTGCGCATTTGATTTTGTGCGTCCTCAGTAAAACCATAGAGTTGTGAAAGATCAAGAGTGCTTGTGGCTTGATTAAGCTAATATGTTTATAAGTTTTTAAACTATAAGTGATAATTAAGAAATATTTATGTGATGATTGTGTGCTTACTTGTTTTGCTGCTCCAAAAGTACATTTATCATCAATAGCTAAAGCACTACGCACGTAGTTAAGGCATGTTCCTCTACTATATACACTAGCATCACTCTTTGCTAGTAATGGAGCACAAGCTGGATGATAATAACGTGGCAGTAATTCAGAATTGTCCGTGTCACAACACTCAATTGCATAACCATTACCTGAAAAATGCTCAATGTATTTTGAATTCATTTTTTTTAAATAAAATATTTACTCATAGATGTCACAACGGGCTTGCTCAGATCATGTTCTATAAACTGACTCCACTGCACTAAAGCTAAAGTATTTTGCTTGTCATCGAGCACATCATTTTTAAAACCTGTATTGGAGCTATGTAATGCTTTAGTACTAATATCACGTGGAGCTGGTAATTTATCTTCTGAATACATCTAATAAAGCATTTATAGTATATAAATTGTATAAAACTACTACTATAATTAGATATATGTAAAACCTTATAAAAACCATCTTTATAGTTGGCTGGTAATAGTCGTCTGAAAGGATGGTGTCCATCTCGTGGATCTTTAGAAATTTGTAAGCATTTCTCATATACATAGCTTCCTTTCGGCAACTCTTTAGTAGATAAGTAAGCCTCACACTTTTCACCGCTAATTCCGCGCACAGCACATTTTGCATTATAAGCATATAAACTGGATTTAAGTATTTTTCCCGCAATATCACTTTCAGTTTGGGCCTTTGAATTTGGTAAGCAATCCAAAAGTTGCACATGAGATATGCTACCATTTTGTACAGTTACCTGTGCATTTAATAGATTTTCTTCTAACCTAAAAAGAAATAGATGTCAACACACAAACTTAAAGAAAAAAATGCGACATATTATAGATATACCTCTTTTGTTTATTTATGGAATCAACGCCAAACTCGACAAATTGTAGCCAATCATTTGTTGATATAGCGCTCAAAAAATTTTGTTCGGCTGCATTTAGGGAAATTTGATCTATAAAATATATATGTATATAGTTATATATTAACAGTAAAAAAAAATTTTTATATTTATATAACATTTACTTCTTGAAAATATAAGGAAGCAATATTACATTATCAAATAAAAAAACTTTTATAAGAGCACGCACCAGCAATTAAGGGGTGAAGCCCGCGGAAATGAATCGAAGGACAAAATGTGTATTTATAGTTGTATATATTCATTATTAATGCTTTACGTCTACTTTATAAAACAACATTTTTTTTTAACTTAATGAATTATCTTAAAGCACATACCAACCACGCAAAGCATTTCTGGCAGAACCTGCAATACACTATCTATGAAAAAGATCTTCAGCATTATGAGAAGTTTAGGCAAATTTTTAAATACCCTAGGCATTACACTGCTATATATTAAAATCTGTAAAAATAATATATTTTCTATAATTTCAAAGGTATTCATTTTATTTATTTCTAATAGTTTTATAATGAAAAGTAATCATACAGACATTTAAAAGTTAATTTCAAAAGATGCTTATATGAAAACAATTGAACCAATCAGCAGGTCTATAATATTTAAATAGTTAAGATTTATCTTTAACCATAAAATCAGGCATTTTAAATCGCCTTCGAGGTTATTTATGCAATATTAAAGAGAGATTAATAAAAAAGCAACACCAGGTATTTATTAATACACTTGAGGATATCCACTCAGTAAATAAAAAAGGAATATTCCACCTTTGTGTTACGCCTGAAGAGTTTTTTTTTTTAAGATTATAATTATATTTTTATGAATGGTGTTTTATGAGAGTTTTTTAATTTAATTATAAGTAGATTCGAAAATTTTGTTAGCATAACCAAATAAATTTTAAGGCATCTCATCAATCAATCCTAATTTAGTGGTTTCATAGTTAGGTGTATGTTCAAAATGGAAATTAATAATAAAATAAAATTGTTCATTAAGTTAATTAATTTATTGTGATATTAACTTGTATCTAAATAAGTTAGTAAAAACAAATGCAATTCGGCATCTCGAGCAATGAAATGAGAAAATCTCTAACTGTTATTCAATGCATTAATAGCCCCGTCAATAGAAGGTATTATATACAACCTATTCAAACTTAAATAGATTAATAGCAAATATAACATCATTATGATTATTTTGATACGATTTCATCCAATAATAATTTATAAGCGAACTAATTTAAATAAAAATAAAAGAATAATTTATTATTATTAAATAATAATTTATTATTTATATTTGAAACAAATTATTTTATTAAATTTTTTTCTAATATTTCAACTATCTTCGATAGTCATCTTCAGGGAAATTGTTTCCCTGTTCATTTTTATAGGGAATATATAATTATTATGTTAAGCCTTTTCCGAGTTAATGTATCTGCGCACTTTTACTCTATGATAGCTGGGGGGATTCTGCAGAGTCCCACCCATCTCACTGACTAATTTGAGTATTGCTCATAATCTTCGTGATTATTCATTGATTGATCTAAGATCTGCGTACCGCCCCTTGCGGTTAGTGATTACTCTGAGTTTAGATAGTGCTAAGAAGGGCAGCTTGTCGGATTTCGCATATAGCTTCAGAGCTCTGTACCATATGTATTTTTTGACCGGATCTATTTTAAGGTCTCTTAGCATGTCATTCGTGCGAATGTACCATGGTACTTTGAAGAGCCTTCGAAGAGCCTGCCTTTGAGCAACTACTATCCATTGTAGCTTTTGGATAGTAGAGTCGGCAGCTTTGCTATACGCGACAAACCCATAAAGTACTGCTGGTCTAATATATAATACGACATATTATTTATTCATCTTAATACTAATCTTAAATACTTATAGTGTATACTTAAATAAGTAATTTAGCGCTTGTATCTGTCATTGAGCTATATTGTGAATTTATATTTGTATTATAATTAAAATTTTTTTTGAATACATCAAAAACTAAAAAAAATTACGTTTAATCCTTTCTTTCATGCTTTCGTTATTAATCTTAAACTCCAAAAACTTTAAAAATAATGTTATTTATTTTTGAATAAACATTTTTTTTATATATTATATCCAAATTTTTTAGTTTTCTTAGGCAAAAAACTCCTCATATATGTTGTGTACATGCTGTTATTAAGAGTACTTTCGAAAATAATTTTTAAAATAGAATTTAATAATCTTCTTTTATTGCTCATCAGTCAGTCATTCAGTCAGTCAGTCATACCCAACATATAATGAAATAATTTGTATTATGTAAATTAAAGAAAACATTAAGCATTCAAGTGCCGTAAAGCCTTAATAGTTGTCTTTCTCATGAATACCTTGGGGAAGGCGGGCTGAAGCTCTAACCGATGCTCAGGTTATCTCAATGCGAACAACTTCTTGGCTTGCGACCATAAATTCGTTTGTTTGCTTTTCACGTAAAGCGCGTGCCACTACTCATAATGGTTTTGGGCTTGTTAATTTGAAAATACGGAACCGAACCAAAATGAGGAAAATAATTACGGAATTATTTATGGTATTTTGAAGCACACATATTTTGTTAATTAACAATTAAGTAGAAGTTAGTGATTTTTGCTATATGTTTTATCAAAAGAATATCCTAAAACACTATAGAAATGAAATGTTAAACTCAAAAAAATTAATAAGAATTTAATTAATAAGAATTAGTTCTAATACTGCAAATTATTTTAAAATATAATTTATATCAAATCATTTTTATAAATAAAGTCGATACATTTTTTATAGTCTTTATCGAGCAAATGTGGGGTTGAAAAGTGTGGGCGCAGTATAGGATTTGGGCTTAAACAAACCCTATATTAAAAATAGGTTTAGGAATAAATAATGTCCCCTAAATGTTATAATTCAATAGTGCAGATATAGACATGTGTATGTTTCAGTAGAAATAAAAATAACTTTTCATCTCTGCTGACTCTGACTTTCTCTTAGTCATTCCGTTAACTTTTTACCCCAATGTTGATATCTACTTTTCAGCTTTATTAATATTTTCTCATAGTCTATAATCACAATAAAGGATATTACAAAAATACAGCTTGATTTTACCGTAACAAATGCATCCACTTAATTATTTTGATAGTTATTTGATGTATTGTTATCGGTAATAATCAATCAATTTTTGTCAATCTATTTTTCGTCTTAATCTGTTGGAATTTCCATGGATTCTTTACCAACATCCAAGTAGATTTTACAGATCAAAATAGAGAATATATCAAAGCGTCGGTAAATCTAAAGTGATATTTTTTTTGTATTATATGTTGACATAAAGTATACTAACAATTACAACTTGTACCTACTGTATTTTCCTAGTAAAAGTATTTCTAAAGAATGCATATTCGTGGATTCTTTTACGGTTTGTTCTTTTCACTATTTTTATGATTCTTTTTAATTCACAATTGCACTGGCTATTTCGCTCAAAATCAAAGTTAGCAGTGGAAAATAAACTTCTAGTATATAAAACGGTAATTGCCCTAATTTGGAAATATGGAGTCGAAATATGGGGCACAGTATGCAAATTCAGCATACAAATACTGCAAAGACTACAATCAAAAATACCTAAGACTGTCATAAATTCTGACTGGTACATCTGAAACCATGACATTCATCGTGACTTAAAGATACCCTTCGTCGCAGACATTATCCGCAAAAATAGTAAAAATCACACAGATAGATTACTTGAACATCCTAATCCAACAATGAGGCAGCTACCAAATGACGAAGCCACATATAATAACATTTTATAACAATTCTATTAATAATTCTGTCTAGTAAAAGTATTACTAAAGAATATATATCCATGCAATTATAATATAGTTTAGTGATTCTTTTTACTTCCTTTAAATTTACATATTTTTATGCTTTTCTTGAAGAAAGTATCTTAAACTAAACGGTCGTGTTTATTTACGTTTTCTCTAACATTTTATAGTAATTCAATTTATAGTTCTAAGTCAATATAATGTTATTTCGGCATAAAAACCATCAAAGGTTAAGTGTGCAATAAGCCATTGTTGTTTTTCTAAGTATCTTACGTAGTGAAAACTTTTTCCAGTGAAAAAATATTGAATACAAATTCATTTTAATTTTCATTTGAAAATATTATTAGTTAAAAAAAAATTATTGTTGTTGTAGTTTACTACTGTTGGAAAAAAACCTCTTTAAAAAAAATTATTCAAAACACTGATAACCTTTGCAGTTTCACTGATTATTCAAGTAATTAAGAAAGGTACATTAAGTATAAATTATTATACTTTTATTATAAGTTATATATACATTTAATTTTTTTAGTTATTTATTTCCATAATTAATGTAATTTGGATATTTGTCAGAAATACTTACTCTGTGGAAAGTCAAAAACTACAACACCCGAAACTATTTTGTATTGAGCGTAGATAAACAAATAAAATAAACAAATAAAATTATTTATAAATGATTTGGACATTTTGAATATTTAATGTAAAATTATTATAAAATTATATTTTATAACTCTTTTCCCGTAACTTAATCGCTTGAAATAAGCATAACAAATCAGAGCTATTATTTCCAGAGCTCCACTTAGTTGGCGATTTCTTCAAAAACTGTTGATTGAATTTTAACAAGAACTGCCGTCTCAGACTATTTCTGCCTCACCCAAATCAATGAAAATGTTTTAAAACAAATATTATTCACTTCATTAGCTGATGATGTTGATAAGAAAACGACAATTGACTTAAGATTCATTTATAAACAATGTGAATTGCTCACTTGTCCGCTCCAAACTGTGTAGCCAAGCAGTAATTGAAGTCATGTGCTCATATGAAGAATCTCACAGATACTTCAAGAGAATATATGTAAACAAAATAATTGTGCAGTCATTCTTGAAGTGCACAATAATTGATCGGAATATTTTACCTTTACACAATGGGTAGTGAGATTTAGTTTTTTGCTTTTTAAAAATTTCAATCGGCTCCTTTGTACAATTGAATCCAAATAAACAACTTTAATTGTGTCATTAACGCTGACAAAGTAATTTCAGAGAACACGGATTATCAAATTTGGATGCGTTGATTTTTTAACTAATAAAAAATGTAATTTTTTATTTATTAAATTTAATTATAATTTACAAAAAGTATATGCAAATATTTTAAATTTAAACAGACATATATATCATTCCAGAAGTTCTGAGCTCGATGGAAAACTGATAAATCGATTCACAAACTGGAATCCACAATCTGGTAATGAACTAACCGACATTAAAAAAAACTGCAGGATACAAGTGTAACTGAACATCATAATTACAAATTTTAGGAAATTTGTTCAAAAATTGTTTGAAATCTTGGAGTGAAATATTTCACATAAAAATATGTTATAATTTTTTTAAATTAAATATCAATAATTTGGATAAACACTAAAGTAAAAATTTTTATTAAGTTTATATATATTACATTAAATCTTTAAACTCCTAGGAGGAGCATACGGTCGCAACAAATATTTTACACTCGGTACGATTGGTGACCAGAAGCTTAAACTTTCCCCAGCCCTTCTGTGTACATATCTGCCCCTTCTTCTGCTACCCATCGGATCTACGCAAAGTATGACCGACCCAGTTCCGTTTGCGTTTTTAGTTTCGGTTCTTATAGGTGTTTGTTAGTTAAAGATCACAAACGTTAATTTGGAATTGTATTTGGCCAAAATACTTTAACGATTTTGCGTACATTGATGCCGTTTGCCATAGCATTTCAAGATTGACATCCAAATAGGAGGCAAGATTTTATGTTGGAGTTAAATATTCGTATTGAAGTTCGATGCGATAACTAAAATGATATCCAGACTTTATTTAAGCGACCTAACGCTTGTTTTGCCTTTTTAAGTTTATTAAGTTTAGAATAACCTAAATTTTTTAACCTAAACCATATCTATTTTATAGATAAATTTTATATTTTATATACTCGTCACTGCATTTCTAATTAACCCTAACAATCATAAAGAAAAATATATTAAAAATGTAAACCTACTTAATTCACTTCATCTCACTATGATGGATGCAAATATCATATACAGTACTAGTCCTAGGACAGTTTTTAGGGTGCTCCTTACTGCTGGACAATGGACTCGTAACACCGTACATATTAAAAACTTTATTATAATATTTAATAAAATATTTTCATATATATTCACATTAATATACGGGCTAAATGTCAAAAAATATGGTTCTGGGATATTTTACAAGCTCCTCGTTCTAAAGATAGAATATGATACCATGCTATATATGCTATTAAATAATAGGCAATATTCTACATATACTTTGCATTAATTTAAAAAACGTTATTAGAAGACTAATAGGATGGTAAGAATATTTTTCTCCTGATTGTTAGGTTTTGGGTATCATAATTACTTTTGCAAATTTTCTTGCGTTAGGAAGTTGCGCTATAACTACATAAACATACATGTTTTAGATGTAACACATATTTATTTTATTAAAATTTCTATACTTTACTGTCTATCATTATTATTTACTATCATCTATAAATCATATATTAAACTTAATTATTCGTCAAGGGGCTGTAGAAAGACTCATTTAAAAAAGGTTTTTTGAAAACTAATTCGTGTATTTAAGCATAAGTTACGAGCGCAAAAATGAAAGTTATAGACAATGTTCTATGTCCCATTATAATACTTCTACTTCAACTTCTAGTAGTCCAATATTATATTACTACTTTTACTAAACCAGATAATGGAGTAGATTTCTTTATTGTTGATCATATGTGGCAGCGATCATTACAATAATAGGTCTGTTCCATGAGCAACTCCAAGTAAAACTCAAGTAAGACACAAGTAAAGTAACTTTGCGTAACACTGTGTATACACAAATGCGTTCCACCAGCAAATTTTCGAGTAAATGAGAGCATCTGAAAGAGCGTAACTTCCCTGTCGAGATTTGAAAATGCTATACAGATTTTACTCGTACATTTTATTTCAAGTAAAATTTGTGTGATGTGTGAATCAGCTGTTTGGTTTGAATTTAAATTTTTGAATTGTTTATTTGCGCGACACTTGTGTTCTTATCAGATTTTACACAAAGTTGTTCCATGAAAATCTGTGTAAAGAGCGTAATTTGGCACTTTATTAGTGTTACGCTCTTAATCAAATGAGAATAATAAACAGACCTCTTCGATTGTTTATTTTATTATATATAATTTAATTTACAGGTATTTCGCAGCATAAAATTTTTTCAATTTATAATAATGATGTAGAAGTTTTCATAGTCAAAAATATTAATTTTCAATAAGTAAATTCTTAGTCTGATCATATAACAGCTAATCACGCCATACAAATGATAGATATGCTGCTATATATCTATTATCTGTGATCTTTGAAAACATTTATTGATTGAAATACGTATGTACTAATTTCTGATTTCTGGCAGTACGGAAAACAATTGTGGTCAGCTTAACAATTACCTTGATTAAATATTTAATATTTTTGATATTGGAATACTAGAAAATTATAATCAAGCATTACCACCGTGTACACTCCAAAATTGTATAAGTTTTCAATTTGTACCTTGTGAATCTGTTTTTATAAATACGTAAACTACATTAAATATTAGACCCAGTATTCGTTTAGCAGTTTATTTATAAATTTATACATGTAAATAGCATGCATGAAAGATATTTACTGCTTGATAATATCGTTTCTAAATATTTATTTAGGGCACACAAATTTAATGTTAAACAGCGTTTACATCGTGAGATTAAAAGTAAATTAAAGCATTGATATAGGTTAAGGTACTAATCTTGTTGCTTAATCTTAGATTTCCCATACAAAAGTTAATCTCGTTCTGGTCGAGATTAATTTATAATCTCCTTAGAAATGGTGATTATTTCTCTAAAATTTTTATTAAATTTGTTTAAAATTAGTTTTGTACATAATTATAACTAAAATTTGTTAAATTATTGTTATAAAACTTTTTATTAAATTCATATTACAATTTTTTTCTACAAAGTTGTAATTAAATGCTTTATTTACAGAAATTTGTCAAACACACGAAACAAAATATAACCAGAGAAACGTCAAGATAAATCTCCAATGTATAATGTGAACTGTGGAGATTAAAAATACAGATTAACTTAATTTCTTTCTCTTAATCTCACAATGTAAACGTAGCAAAAAGCTCTCCTATGCATGATAATTCTGTATTTATTCCATTGAAAACTGATATGTTATAAATATTCTAAGTAGTTTGAAAATATCTAAAATGCAACTCTGTTACTGATTTTCTGAACATACTTAAACAAAGTAAACAATCATTCGAATTGGCGAACAGTAATTCTTGCCGTGCATAAATATAAAGTGAAGTTCAATATTAAAAGAAAATAAGTAAGCTAAGATAAATATTATAAAATCTTATGTTTCTGAAGGATTTCATGTACCACAAACATTGGATATATTTCGTTACACAATTATCTCATTGAGTATAAACACTAGCTAATAGGTTTTTTATTCAAACTGCTTTCCATTTAAAACAAAATGAGCTACGACGACTGTAATGTGCTTACAACCATTTACAAGAATAAGCAATCTGAAGTTACTGAAGAGTTTTTTAAAAATAAACAGCTTCCAACAAATGAATTATCGCAGATTTGTAAGCCGAAGAAAAAATTTACAAGGTATAATTTTATGAAGGAGTTTTTATCAACGGTACTAACAACGCAGGATGGAGAAAATTCTAGTTGCGTTGAAAATTTGATTAATGAAGATATTACATATAATGATTTATCTTTATTATGCGATGAAGATCTCAAATTAATTGGTATAGAAAACAAAACCGAAAGAGAACAATTGCTTAACTGTTTCAATCAATTGCCAAACCAACAAGAAAGTTTTGATTAGTAAGTTTAATTAAAAAATTTTTAAATAGCTACGTTTTGCGTTAAATAATGTACATTTTTTAGTGTCGTGAATCATGCTGATGCAAAGGACTACAATAAAAGGATTTTATTTTATGCTTGTAATCATATGAATGCCATGCGTTATGCAGCAGCTGCAAACGGCAGTAAACTAAATTTCGTTGAAACCGATGATGAAACATTTAATGGTAAACTATACTTCTCTCGTTTAACCGATGAAGCTATTGAAATAATTATGAAAGAAACAAAGGAAGTAGAGAAACACATCAAATATTTAAATCAGGTATTGTGAGGCGAATAGATTTTCATAAACATTAAATTATATTTTCTTTCTTTAATAGGTGTTAAATGGAAAAGTCAACAATAAGGAAGAGATATTTGGTTCAAAAATTGAATCTAAAACCAGCAAGCTGTTTATTTTTGGTACTCTTATTATTTCTAGTGTGTTATTGGGAATATATTATTTTAAATAAAGAAAATAATTAAATTATTTTATGTAGTAAATATGTAAATATAACAATACATTTGTATCATATATTTTTTACTTTTAAATAATTTCTACACAAATATAAGTAGTACTCATCTTAAAATTAGTAATAGATCGAAGATGAGCAAAAGGATTGGTAGAGAAATCAATTCCAAGAACTAAGACATGTAGACATTTTTTTGAAAAAGAATCTCAAACCACATAAATCTTTTTGCTTCTCAAAGTACTATGTCTTTTTTCACAATACTGCCACTCAGGAAGATACAATTTAAACTTAAGTAATTTAAATATTTGATTATATTAAAATAAATGTTTCTCAAATGTCATGAAAAGATATCATCGAAATCAATTTTTGTTTTTGTGTTCATAGACGTAACGCATCATACGAAAGATATAATGTCTGCTAATACTTGAAACCGCTAGCAATCTCAGAATGTTATTGCTTACTTACAAGTACTTTCCTTGATCCTTTTATTTTAAAAGTGCTAATGATAACTCATAATTATATAAGCATCTTTTTAAAAACCTTAATTGTCTTGACTTCTAAATGATAACATGGTCTTATACGCGATTGTTCTGATACTGCGCGTTTACACTTACCGATGGTTTATCTATCGGATATGTGATATTCTTAATTGTTGTAGTGAAATGCACGAACTACCTCTGATTAAATCTTATAGCACATTCACACTGTCTCATTTAGGCAGTTTTGTTCATTATAACCACTAATGGGGATGATTTACCATACAAAAATCTTTCATATAAATGAGCTATTATTAATAAATCAGCTCATTAAAAGCGTAAATTGTCGAATGAAACTCTTAAAAATAAATTTCTCACAAGGAAAATTACCAATATTTAAAATATTTGTCTTATATTTCAGATGTAAAATGTAAACAAACAGCTGAGCTGTAAACAAAAACACTGAGGAAGTAGGTATTTAATGAAATATTTGTTTTTATTAACAAAATATCTAATTGATATATAAAATGTATTTAAATGATTTAATATATCAATAATATATTTAAATTTTTTATGTGATATATTATTAATTGCAGTTTATAAAAGTTCTATCAGCTGCATAAATATATTATAATAAATAATAAAATAAATATATGTCATTAATATAAATGAGTAAGTATCTAAATAAAACAGTGTGAATGTACTATTAGTACAATTTCATACTTGTATATGTTATCACCAACATAACTTCATTTATTAAAAAAAATTTAATAAATAATCAAGAAATTTGAATTTAAAATATTATATACAACGAAAATAATATTACACATGATATGAGTCGCCTCTCTTTTTAATAACTACAATGAATTAAAATTTAAAACTTAGTATACTGCCCTTGTAAAAGTAGGGAAAAAATTAGTGGTTGCAAAATAGTGTTAAATATATTGGGAAAGCAGTGACATTTGACATTTGAGCATTCAATCGTTTCGTTGCATCTGTCAGCATACAAGCGGTGTGTTATTGAAATTATTTGGAATAGAGTTTTTAACAAATATTAGTTAGTTAAAATGCCTTCTTTGGAGGCGGAAATAACAGTTGAACAGCAACAAAATGTTGAGCAATCTAGATCTATGTCTGGACCAATTATTGGAATAATCTATCCCCCACCGGAAGTTAGAAGTATCCTTTTTCAAAACTATTATATTAAGCATTCTGGTTTTCCTAAACTCAGTGTATTATTTTAAAAACTAGATATTGTCGATAAAACTGCAAGTTTTGTTGCTAGAAATGGCCCTGAATTTGAAGCACGAATTCGACAAAATGAGCTTGGCAATCCAAAATTCAACTTTCTTAGTGCCGGGGACCCTTACCACGCCTATTATAGGCATAAAGTCAATGAGTTCCGTGAAGGCAAAGGTATGATGGGCAACATAATATTTTTAAAGAAATTTGCTTAATACTAAATTTTTAATCTCAGATACTGGACCCAATGTCATATCGGGTATTAAACAATTATCAGTGACAAGTGCTGCGCAACAGAAGCAGCAAGAGCTGTTAAAACAAGTAGCTGAGCAGCAGTTTGTACCGAGGGAACCACCACCTGAGTTTGAATTTGTTGCTGATCCGCCATCTATATCAGCATTGGATTTGTAAAACCACTCTAACAATTTAATAATATAAAAGTAAATTTGTTTTTTTGATTGCAGAGATATTGTGAAGCTTACCGCACAGTTTGTTGCTAGAAATGGTCGTCAATTCTTGACTAATTTAATGAACAGAGAGCAACGCAACTTTCAGTTTGATTTTCTTCGCCCTCAGCACTCATTATTTCAATATTTCACTAAATTATTGGAGCAATACACGAAAATCCTTATCCCCCCAAAAGATTTAATGGGTAAATTGCGTTCTGAAAGTTCTGACGGCCGTTCAAGTACTAATTTAGTATTAGATCAAGTAAAATATCGCGCGAACTGGCAAAGGCATCAGGAAGCTCAGCGTCGACGGGAAGAAGAGAAAATTGAACGAGAAAGAGGTAATATCAAAGTAATAAGTAAAATGAATAATAAATAAAAATAATAATTTATTTTTAGTTGCATATGCGCAAATTGACTGGCACGACTTTGTAGTTGTGGAAACGGTTGATTATCAACCATTTGAGACGGGCAATTTTCCACCACCAACAACACCAGAAGAAGTAGGTGCACGTGTTCTTATGGAAGAACGTCTATTGGAAGAAGATGGCGATATAGAAATGCAAATTGAATCTGATGATGAGGATAGTCAGGATGCACCTATTTCTACTGGTGCTATTAAATTATCACAAATGGAAAATCGTACTAATATACAAATGAAAAATATTGCGCCAAATATGCCGACAGCGGCTAAAAAAGACAATATTCAGGTACAAGATATGGATGAAGCTTCAAGCGACGAAGAAACACCAAGTTCTTCTAAAACTCAACCGGCTGTTACACCATTATTGCCACCAACACATGATAAAGTTGTTGTTAAGAAATATGATCCGAAAGCTAATCAACAAAAAATACAAAAACCGCCAACATCTGATGAATATCTTATATCTCCTATAACAGGTGAAAAAATTCCAGCTTCTAAAGTCGCAGAGCATATGCGTATTGGCTTGCTTGATCCACGTTGGGTCGAACAAAGAGATAAACATACTGTTGATAAGATTAATCAGGAAACCGTGTTTGCAGCCGGTACTGCTATAGAAGCAAGTTTAAAGCAATTGGCTGAGCGACGTACCGATATTTTTGGTATTGGTGACGAAGAAACTGTAATTGGTAAAAAATTGGGTGAAGAAGAAACTAAAAAAGATGATCGCGTTACATGGGATGGTCACACTTCTAGCGTTGAAGCAGCAACAAGAGCAGCTCGTGCTAATATCACATTAGAAGATCAAATTCATCAAATACATAAGGTTGTTATCTTAATTGTTCAAAAAGATTATTATAAACATATATTGATTTTTTAGGTAAAAGGCTTGTTGCCGGATGAAGAAAAAGAAAAAATTGGTCCAAAACCAGTTACAAGCAAAACTACACTTTCGGCGCCTCCGCAGCCGCATCAACTTAGCAATAAACCTCATATACAACAATCACATCAACAATCGCATCATCATCAACCACAACAAATGCAACCACCACAACATTCTATACCGCAACCGCCAGTAATGATGATGCAAATGCGTCCACCTCCAATGATGCGTAATTTACTTTACATATAAAATTAATTTGTTAACTACACATATATATATACATATATATTTACAGCACCACCATTTCCTGTTCCTGGTTATTTACCTCCAATGCAGTCGGGTGGTCACCCACCTATCGCACCAGCGCCACCAGTTATGGATCAAAGTATGATATCAATTCCAACAATTCCTATTGATGATGAACCTCCAAATAAGAGAATGCGTTCTGAAGATAATCTAGTACCAGAAACAGAGTTCATTGCAATACATAAGGTAAAAAATATCTATTATATTATTCAGTTATAAATAAAAATTTTAATTATGCTCCTTTTTTAGAGTCCAATTACTATACAAGTACAAGTACCAAACATAATTGATAAGTCAGAATGGAAACTAAGTGGACAAACGATTGCAATATCATTGGCCTTAACGGATGCTGTTTCTAGTCTAAAGGCTAAAATACAGGAAGAAACAGGAATGCCTCCCGCAAAACAAAAAATTTCATACGAGGTTTGTAAAAAACGTTCCTTCGCACTCAGCTAATAGCTGATGGTACCACATAGTGTGTATGCATGAATTAGTTAAGCATTTAACGTAAATGAATCTTATTTGCCCAAATCAGTGATACGGAAGCAGCAAATAATATTTATTCTTTAAATTTAAAAAAGTAAGGATTACAAATCTTTATGCAGCAGTTAGTTTCTAGTACCAAAAACCGATTTATTGGTGATTAGTTATTGTTCTGTTGTTCTCGCAAGATTGAACTTTAATATCACTTATCATCAATGAGTTGTAATTAGGAGTAACAGTCCCACAATTTTAAAATTTAACATTTAAACCAAAATCTAAAACAACAAATACCATTCAGATAAACTACAACCACTTGATGTGCTTTAGTTTTCTTTTGAAAAAGATTTTCTTTACAGAATTGAACAATTTGAAAATCAATTATGATTTTACTTAATCATTTGAAACATTCAATTTCACAATAATGGTAAATCCGGTACGTGAGATTTTCAATTATATCTTTAAAGTTGTAAAGAATTTCCATAAAACAGGGCACATCCACTTCGATATTTAGTTCGTCTATCAAATTTTTTTTTTAGTGAACGTTGATTACTGACCATTATAGACAAGTAAGGTGAGAATATATATACTTTCTGTCCATATTGAACGTCGATGGATGTTCATTTTTAAAAATATCTAGATATATATATTGGCTGAGAGCGCACATATTAATACAACTATCAGAACTTCCATTCATAGACATCTAATGTCCATTATAATGCAATTCACTTTATATCTTGTATATGTTTTTAATAGTAAATACTATATAGGACATAAATTGTGTTCAAATTGATTTTGACTTATTTATATTATGTTCGAAAAAAACATATATCTAAATACACATATGAATATGATCTGAAAAATTTTTCTCCTTATTTATTTATAGCAATTAAGTAAATATATAAATATTGGACTGATAGCTCCAAACCAGGAAATGTTTCTTTATGAAAATATAAGTTAGAGTATGCTTGGGCATAGGACCGCCAATTTAATCAAACCTAAGTTAGGCTATTACTGCTATCATAAGGATCGACTTAAGCCAAAGTTATGTTTATGTTTATTTAACTTTTAAAGTACTTTTGATGATGATAATTATTTTGTGAACTTTTAAACATTTTCCATTACTTTGACTAGTTTGTCATCTAGATGAATAACACTAATTTCATTACAGGGCATGTTTTTCAAGGACAGCAACTCTATGGCATTCTACAATTTACTCACTGGAGCTACAGTACACTTACAAGTCAAGGAACGCGGTGGTCGTAAGAAATAAAATTAGTTTCTTAGTGAACTTTCCATTTATACGATTAATATAACTAAACTCAATTTATACAAATAAATTCTTTAAAGTTTTCTCTTTTTTTTGATAATTTAATGTTTATCACAATAGAAATTGCACTTTTAATTAAAGAATAAAATATTTATAAAATTTCTAAACAGTTAATAAAAAAACATAATATCAAAAATATGCGAGATGGAAGTGTACACTTATATAAAATTATATAAATCATTTCATGATTGGAATGCTTTCTATTACATTTTAGCTTGTAATTATGCTGTGGAATCCTCTAAAATGCGAGCCATTTCGCGATATCTTGCCAACATTGGCTCATATATATCTTGACTATCTTTACTCGGTGCGCACATGCGTTGCAAATGACTGGGAATGTATTGCAGAATATAATGTTGATAACTTTCGGGCGGACCCCATGTAACGGCGGCTTTCTTTTGTGCGTTCACCTTGCTTGTGTGTAAATACAATGCATATTTGGCTCTATATGCTGCTCCTAAAAGCGCAGCTTCACTATGTTTCTGTAATTAAAAAGAAAGTATATAACGAGAATAATACTTCTGTAAATTTCGAATTAACCTGTACATAAACCGGTGCATTAAACACATCAGACATTACTTGCAGAATTGCTTTATTCACAGAAGCACCGCCAGTTGCTATTATTTTTGTTTCTTCCCCAAAATTGAAACCCATATCAGTTGCTATTGCTCGTCTATGCAACATTTGACCCTCTATCAGGGCACGTATTTCAGCTTGTGGTGATCCAAATCTACATTTATATGTATAGAATTTTAATATCATTACAATGTGAAAGATATGATAATTAAGATATGATAATTAAGATATGATAATCTCACTTTGTCAAACCTTTATCAGCATCGGGTGAAGCTGAACTATGATTCTTATTCCAACGTAAATTGCCTTTCGCATTCGGTATTATTTCTAAGCTATGGAAATGTAATGCCATATTACCATAATTGCCCCGTGGTGTTGAATTCAGTAACTCACTAAAATTCGACCAGTTATCGTTTGCATCCACCCTTTTTAGAGCATCTCGCACCAGTGAACCATTTCGAAAACTAAAGAAAAACCATAAATAATTTATTTTATTTTAAAATCATTATACAACTCAAGAACGTTTAAAACAAACCAAAGTAAACCCATAAATTGATCAGTTTCAATAGGGTGGCAGAGCACATGTCCTTTCTCTAATTCTGGATTATTTTGTAAGTTCATCATTACTGTATCGCTTGTGCCTAACGACATAACCAACCAATTTTTTTCCACTACCATGCCTGATAAAGCTGATGGATTATCTCCTGTAAATGCAGCAACTTTGCAGTTCGCTGGCATACCAAAACGTTGTACGAAAAAATTGGATACATTTCCAATTATTGAATTTGTTGCAACGGGTTGTCCTAAACGTTCTTCCAAATCTGGTGCACATGAATTCAGGCATGGTTTGGACCATGTCTTTGTATCGATATCAAACAAATTCATTCCAGATGCATCAGCATAGTCTATAGGTGCTATATTGCCAAGAAATATAGATGCCAAAAAACTGCTTACAAGTGAGATTCGTTTAGTATCTTCATATGCGTGAGTACGTTGTTGGTAAATTTTACGTATCTGTGGGCCAGTAAATCTGGGATAGCATTTGGAACCAGTTATTCTCACCATTTCTGAAGCGCCACCGATAGCAGTCTCCATTTCAAGACACTGATTTTCTGTAGTACCATCCATCCATATTGGTGTACGTGTGACTGTAAAAGCTGAATCATCGATTTGTAAGTGCAGAAATTTATCTGGATCGAGATTTTTCAACTTTTGTATACCATACTGTGACCAGTAAAGTGAACCATGTTGCTATTAGGGAATATATTCTTATAATTATTATAATCAAAAAAGGTAAAATTTAATTTACTTACTTGTGCTGAACCACTTATCGCAGTGACTGTGCTTAAATCCGCTCCCTGCACTACTAAACGATCCAAAACAATGTCGAGTGCCTTAACCCACATAACTGGTTTCGCGAAAAATCTACACACCATAAAAATTATTTAATTATAAATGAAAGAGTTCACACGAGAATTAAAGATATAGTAAAGATTGGTTTAAAACTGACTCATTATTCAATTCACCAGCGTTAGCGCCGCCAGTGGTACGAAACTCTGGTAAATCGGTATCAAACTTCACTTCGGCTGTGGCCTTTGTCTCTAACTTTGCACTTAATTGGACTGCTTTTAACTAAAAAGTAAGAAATATCATTTTATTAATAGAAATAAATAAAATAGTAGAGGATTTATAGAGGATAGAGGATTTAATATATATTTACAAATCTGCGGATCTGACAGTTATAGATGGAGTAACAACGCCTCAGCTATGGGTACTCCATTCCATGAAATATTTTACTATCTTAATAAACGAAGGTTTCTATAAATTAGAAATCCACAAAAATTCTACTGAGAAAAATTTTTTTCTTAAGTAAGACAATATAATTAGCATTCCTATTTAATATAATAGAGCAGCTCAAATACTAAAACACAGTATGTGTTTTGTAAACTTTAATGTATGCAGCACGTATGGAAGACAGATCTACTTATAGTCTCACTCAAATTGTATCACAACATGTTTTGTGGTTAATTGAAGAGCGACTTAAAGCTTCGGAAAAAATTATATTCAAACAAACAATACTTCCGAAAATTGTCAATTTAGTAAGATGTCTAAAGAAGAATTCCTAAAGAAGTTTAAAACCCATGTAAGTGAAGTAATTAAAGAAATATATTGGTGGGAATGGAAAGTGAATATTTCTTCTAGTTAGTTAGTTAGTTATGGTGGATGGAGGAACGTGTCCTCCTCAATTAGCTAAAAAAGCCATTTTCAATCCACAAAACCTCATAATAGTGGATAGTAGAGAGAAGATCATACTATAACCAGCCAGAGGTATTAAAAAAAGCAAGAATCTGACCAATGCTGATGCTAGAGATTTCGCCGAATGTTGAAGAATGGGACCAAACCAGAACTTCTGTTTTATATAAAATATTCTGTTATAGAATATAGTTTTTAGTTTAAATTGATAATTGTGTTTTATTGTTTACAATTACAATAAAATATGCCAGTTCCATCACATGTCATTTGCGATTTCTTTTACTAAATAACTGGAAAAATACGTAGGAAGAAGTTTATAATATTCGTTACTGTTAAATTTGTTACTGTGCATTTAATTAATCATTTCAATTTAAATAAGAGCCATCACGCCTAGAAATTAACGATTAAACAACACGCAGACCTGCAAAACAACATTGCGTCACTTTCGTGGGCGCATTCTGGTAGCGTTGAAGAGATAACAAAAGACATACGTTTTGTTGGGTGTCATTGTGTCATCAATTTTTTTCGTATCAAATAAATAAAATAATTTAAATAAATATGTATTTCTTTAATATAACATTCTTTTAAATCTGAAAGGGTTTAAAACACACACATGAACGTTTGTACTTATCAAAAATTTAAATAATTGTTTGCATTAATTTGCAATTTATTTGTTATTAGCACATTTCTATTAACCCCAGGAGATAATTTCTTATCAGTTTTAAGTGTTTTAATTACGCAAAGTAAGATTTAATTCTTTGACCTTCAAATGTTGGTATTGCAATAAATTTCTATTGATGAAATAAATAAACTATCATATGTGATGTGAACAGATTAAAGTCAAAATCGGGCCATCATTTTTATAATCTGTTAATTATGGAGCGGTAGTACATTGTAGTTTAAGCTCATTCTTTGGTAGTTATTTGACTTTAGTAAGGTACTATTAAACAGCTTCAAGTAAAAAACTGGAAAACACCAATTAAAGAAATAATTAAAAAGAAAGTTAACACACATAACAAACAAAATTCTAAAAACATTGACCCATTATAAGTCTACTATAAAGAACAAGTATATGCTTGTAGACTATTTATCTTTTTTATATATTATCTTATTGATATAACTTAATATTAGTAAATATGTATTTTGTTCTTGAAACATATTGAATATAAATAAACCGATATTTATTGATCTCATAACTTCACAAACACCAAAAATGCCGTCACTATTTCATTAATAATAAACAAGTTCGGCATGCACTTAATCCGCGTGTAAATATTTTATAATTTTATTGTGTGTTTTAAAAACGCATATTTTAATCGATTATTTAATAATTTTCATTATATTCAAAATAATTAAACAAATTCTTTAAAATAAGTCATAACTGTTAACTGATTCCCAAATATGTTTACCTTTTGCGTACTCAGATCAAATCCCAAGTATGTTCCTTTCTCATCCTTTTCCTGTCGTGGTGGCATTATAATATTGTAATAATATAGTTTAAATATTTTAAGAAACCAATTTTTCCCTAATAATTTAGTAATAACCGACCCTACTCATATGACGCCCGCCATAGAACTTCCACTAACTTCGTTCACAACTAACTCAGCTGTTGCAGAAAACCTTAATAAGAAAATCAAATAAAAGCCTAGCATAAGCAAATTATACGCACTGTCACCTAATATAAACAAAAGTGGTGAAAAGTTAATTAAAAATGGTGAAATAGTCTTATATGCCAACATAGATAAGACATATATAATATAAATTTAAAAATTGTTTAATAATAAATTTTATATTATATATTATTATAAAAGTGCTCTCGAAATAAATCTCTCGTGAACTGCTGTTGAAAGGTGGAACTTTGGTTGTTATTTTTAATAACAGTTACTCAAAATTAATTACTCAAAGAGATGGTTTAATTAATTTAAATAATAAATTTTAACCGATTATATCAAAAAATATTTTTTTGCATTTTCTTTCGATACTTATTTTAATTGCAATTGGCAATTGAGTTTACATCACTTACTGGAATTTCAACCAATGAAATTTAAGACTGCAATCGTTTATTGAAATTTAATTAATTTTGAAATACTTAGGATGTGTGCGAGTTGATGGCTAAGTTGATGCTAAACCAAATGGGACTTTTCTTGGTATTTTTTGCACTGCACACATTTAGCAATTTATCAACAGCAGGTATCAACACATCACTACATTATCGCCACAACTTAGAATTTCCCTCATTTAGAATGCAACTTAGCCTAACTCGCACACGTCCTAAGTTGCGTTCTAAATGAGGGAAATTTTAAGTTGTGCCGATGTAGTGATGTGTCGATACGTGTTGATAAATGGTTAAATGTGTGCAGTGCAAAAAATCCCAAACAATCTTCCATTTGGTTTAGTATCAACTTAGCCTAACTCGCACACGTCCTTAGTTGCATTTAGAATATCATAAAATTGGAGAATCAAATTTTGTTTTATTTTTGTTATTGCATATAAAGTTTGTGTGGGATTGTAGATAGATAAACAATATTTTATGGCAAAAAATAATATTGCATATCTATGTGATTTTCAATCTTAAAAAACAGAACAGGTTTCATTGCCTGAAATTAAAAAGGTGTCAGCATTTTACTGTTGCCCTATCACTTCTGTCATAAACAGATTTTAAGTGACAAGTTATTTATAGTAATAATATCCATATAGTTACAGTATATTTAAATTTACTAGGCCTTATAACACGTTTCAATCCTGTTGAAATACCACACTTTTAAGATATTTAAAATAGGTTTGTTATATCGATTTTTCTAATAAATGTTTGATTTTATACACAAATCAAACATTTTTTATGCAAACTAAGTCAATCTACAAACAAATCAATGAGTTTACGCAATTATATCATTTAATACGTTTTATGCAAATTTAATCATAAATTGCAAGCAAAAATTAATTCGCTTATGTCAAACTATATTTTTGCGTTGCATTGTGTCCCATGCATAATGAATATATTAAAAATTTGTACTAATTTCAATCGTACCGTATGAAACTATTGGAGCCTGCACCAAGAGTTTTTCGTTTTAAAATTTTGCCGGCGTCAGATTTCTTGCAAAATTTGTTGTTCTTGTTCAATTAAAAACGTGGTTAAACAGGCGTTAATTTTATTTAGAAAAAAAAAATATTTATCAAAATGTCTGATTGGGAAGATGATTCGGAACCGAGTACACACGAAAGAAGTAAGCCTAAAACTTATACTGAATCTCGTAGAAGCCAGCAAGATAGTTACTTTCCTTTTCTGGAACGTGTTTCTGGAAACCCAACATATATTGGTGCTTTAATTGGACGGAGTGGATCAAATATAAAAAAAATACAATCCGATTTTAATGTTCGGGTTCAGATTGAAGAACAGACCAAAGATATTACTGTTAAAGGTCGTTATAGAGAAGATGTCGACGAAGCTATTAAAGTTATTAGTAAAATTATGTCTGGAGAAGACTCAAAATTTAACGGCACATCAAGTCGTGACATGCACACTAAACGTAAAGCTGATTACGGTAAATCTGAATATGATAAAAGAGATTACAATCGTGGTAAAGCTGAATATGGTAAATCTGAATATGATAAAAGAGATTACAATCGTGGTAAAGCTGATTATGGTAAATCTGAATATGATGAAAGAGATTATAGACGTGGTAAAGCTAATTATGGTAAATCTGAATATGATAAAAGAGATAACAATCGTAATAGCAATTCTCAAAATCGGTACAGTAACAATGAATATTATTCCGGAAATGACGAATTTGAACCGATTGATTGGACAGCTGCAAATAGCAGAGCTGTAAGTACAAATCTGAAAAAAATAATAAACAATCAATTTTTAAAAATTAAAACAATCCGCTTATATTATAAATATTGCGTTTTAGGAACAGAAAAATGATACGGACTCGAAGTATTCGTTTCCTAAAAATGATTATTCTTTTGGAAATGATGATTTTGAACCAATCGATTGGGCAGCTGCAAATCGTAACGCTGTAAATATTAAATAATGAAAACTACAGAAATATGTTTTAAATATTTAATTTCTAATATTAATATTGTTCATATGTTAATATTATATATTTATTAACAGGAAGAATCTCGTAAAGCGCGATGGGCAAATGCTCCAAAACTGACAAAAGATTTTTATCGTGAAGAGTCAGAAGTTGCTAATATGACGATGAAGGATGTGAATGAGTTGCGTCTTTCTAACAATAACATTACCGTTTCTCGACTCATAACAAGTAAAGATGAAAAGTTTGATGACATTCCTAATCCAGTTTGGAAATTCAAGCAATGTTTTAAAGATTATCCTGATCTTCTGGAAGAGATTAATAAACAGAACTTTACTGAACCCTCTCCAATACAGAAGCAAGCATGGCCTATATTATTAAAAGGAGAAGATTTGATAGGTATAGCCCAAACAGGCACAGGTAAAACCTTAGCATTTTTGCTTCCAGCTCTGATTCATACTGATGGTCAACCGAAACCTCGCAACGGTCCGAACATATTAGTACTGGCACCAACGCGAGAATTAGCACTACAAATAGAAAAAGAAGTAAACAAATACTCGTTCCGTGGAATGAAAGCGTAAGTTGGGAAAAAAATTAACTGATACGTACTATGAAAATAAATTTGTGATTTTATATAGTGTATGTATTTATGGTGGCGGTAGTCGACGTGATCAAATTAATGATTTTCAAAAAGGTGCTGAATGCATTATTTGCACACCTGG